AAAAACAGAACAAATGGTTTTTTCGGCAAAATCAATTTATTTTATTCAAAATAGTCTCCTTCTGCTTCAATACAGCTTTTTGCACGATCCAAAAGCACGAGTGTTTTAGCTCGTTGGCCGGTATGGCCGCCAGTATGCCAGTGCAAGCCTTTTGAATGGCCTCTACGTCTGCATAACGCTTTCCTTTCATGGTCAAATGTATTTTTCCGAAAAGGTAGAAGTCGCACGGTGCCATATCAGGTGGATACGGCGAGTGGTTAATGGTTAAAATGTGATTTTTGGTCAAATAATCGGTCACAAGCATCGATCGTCTGAGCAATTTTTGGTCGTCAGTCAAAATGCGATGTTTTGCAGATTTTCAATTCCATTTCCATCAATTTCAATGATGATTTCGGCTGATTTTTTATGAATTCACGCACAGTTTCGATGGAATTTTCGGTGATCACGAAATAACATGAAATTCTCACTGGACAATCGATAAAGATAGCAGATTCTAACGCATCGGTCGACATAGAGATAGCGCCACCAGGGGGCGCTAGATTCAAAAACTCCTCTTTACTTTGGAACGCACCTTGTTTTTTGCTTAGCTCTATGCTTACTCTACTTGTTTAATTCTCGAAATGGTGCAAAAATCCTTTTCTGCAATGGCCTTCAGGTGAAACACACCAATTTTGTGGTTTTGGATAATATGTACATACATATCTTGGTTTTGGCGAAATAGTCAAGAATAAAAAATAAGGTGATACATGAATGTACAAGAGTATATTAGGTTTGCGGGAGCTGAAAATGTAACAGGCAGAAGGAGGCGTGACAGACCCCACAAAGTATATATATTCTTGATCAGCATGACAAGACGAGTCGATCTAGGCCTGTATGTCTGTCTGTGTGTATAAACACCTGGATCTCAGAGACTCTAAGAGGTAGAGACACCAAACTTTGCACAAAAAAGCGTTATGTGTGTACGCTGTGCAAGATTGTTTTATTTTTTTGATTTTCCCCCCACTTCACCCCTATGGGGGTTTTTCCGAAATTCCGTTCGTATAATCACCTATATATCGGAGACCAATTAACCTAGGGACACCTAATTTTAGTCCCAGGTGCCTTATGTGAATACACAGAAAATGTGAATTTGGGAATTTCCCTCCCTCCACCCTCTCCCCCACAAATCGTAAATTCCAAGAATTACGAACTCAAATTTTGCAAATACCTCAAGTTAGTGCTTATGTGTCCGTATGCCAAGTTTCATCATGATAGACCGATTTAGCAGGAAGTTATAGCCATAAATATATTTGCTGCCCAAGCGCTGCCCGCAGTTGTTGTTGATGTTGCTGTTTGGTTGACTGCAAACATGTTCACACAGACACGAATAGACATTCATACACTCACGTAGACGCAATTGCTATGTAAATGCACCGTTTACGTGAGTTCGAATACCGAGAGAGGTAGGTTAGGTTAGGTTGAAATGGCTGGTGTGATAACGTTCACCCGCCCACTTAGGCCTTAAGGCCCGTTGTGATACCATGTAATTCCTAATTGTGCTGGTCAGTCTTCAGCCACCCGGTGGTATTTAAGAATTTAACTAGATCCGCGAGCTCTACATTTTTCATTTCCGAGAGGTCGCTCAAGAATGGCTTCCCTAGGGTGCATAGTCTGCGCCTGCTCAGCGCCGGGCGGTGGCAGAGGAGATGCTCCACACTTTCCTCTTCCTCTTCGTCTCTGCAGCTTCTGCAGAAATCGTTAAACGGGATGTTTAGTCTCGATGCATGTCTGCCAAACGGACAGTGACCCCCCACCACCATGGAGATCTTACCTCTTTTCAGCTTCACAAGCTTTAAAGTCCTTTTTATGTTAAGGGATGGCCAGGTAAGCTTAGCTCGAACGCACGAGCTCGTGCTCTTCCAGCGCTGCTGTGCTATTTGACGTGCATGGTTGCGCGTCAAAAGCCGAAAGGATGCTAACGGCATTCCCATACCTTCCCTATCGGGAAGGATGTTTGCGTTGGTTCCTTCCCTTGCCAGCTCGTCTGCTATGCAATTACCTTCAATATTATGGTGTCCTGGCACCCATATAAGGCTGATACTGACTAGTTGGGCCATCTCGTTGAAGGATCTGCGACAGTCAGTGATAACTTTGGAGTTGTCCACATTGGAGTCTAACGCTTTTAGTGCCGCTTGGCTATCTGAATATATATATATATTGGTCTACCGCCTTCCATATCAGGGGATAGGTGCCTTGTGACCTCTTGTATCGCAGCCACTTCCGCCTGGTAGACGCTGCAATGATCAGGGTGACGAAATGACCGTCGTATCTCCAGGTCCGGAGAAAATATGCCACCTCCGACTCTCTGTTCCAGTTTGGAGCCATCCGTGAACAAGTTTATGGCATCGTTTCTTCTGTGTGGTAGGCTATCCCACTCTGCACGAGTGGGAATCCTGACTGCATATTTCTTATCAAAAATAAGTTTTGGTACACAGTAATCCGTATGGGTCGGAACGCCGGGTTGAAGGAGTATGCCTGCATGTCCTTTTGACGTGCTTTTCCAGGCAGAGGCCTCTCTTAGCCTTAGGGCTGAGTTTGTAGCAAGTTCCTTTCCGACTATGTCTAGTGGGAGAAGATGGAAGAATATATTAAGAGCCGTTGGTGTAGTACGAAGTGCCCCGCTAATGCATAATTCCGCCGATCTCTGCACCCTACTGAGTTGGTTGAGAACAGTTGATTTGTCCATCGCAGGCCACCGTTCACCGTCAGCAGCCACAGTAGCGGAGACAGAACTCCACCCTGTGGGGTGCCCCTGCTAACGAACTTGCGGCAGGATTGTCCCCCTAGTTCGGCACTTACAGCCCTGCTAGTGAGCAACTGACTGATGAAGCCTACCAGGGAGACATCTACCCCAAGGTCCGTCAACGACTGGGTGATTGCCGACGGTAATATATTGCTGAAGGCGCCCTCAATGTCCAAGAAGGCTACCAGTGAGTACTCCTTAACGTGGAGTGAGTTCTCTATTCTAGAGACCAGGGAGTGAAGGGCAGTGTCAGTTGACCTGCCCTTACTGTATGCGTGTTGTGAGTTCGACAGCAGATCCGGGTTGATAGACTGCCTGCCATCTTGATCATGGGCCATGTAGAAAGAAGCCATTCTAATGGTGGTATTTACCTCTCCATTTCTGACCCCCAGTCGTAGACTGATGGTGGTTAGGTCATCATCGCTGAATTGGGGGAGTAGAATGGCATTTAATTGTTTTTTAGCTAGAATACATGTTCTTAATTTACCCTTACCGCTTCCATAGAACAGGGTAAAATTTGGTGAGCCAAGACCCCGGATTGCGTTGTTGTTTATCCAGGGCTCTTGGATCAGGACTAGGTCCGCCTCGCCTGCTGCCAGACGAACCATTAAAGCAGCTGTTGCCACTTTACTGTGATGCAGGTTTATCTGGAGGATCTGCATCATCAGACTTGTCCGCCCTCTCCTCCGTGAGTGTCGCGTCGGCTTCTCCACTATTGTCTTCTAGAAGCTCACGCTCGGTATAGAACCGGCCCAACACATCTCCGTAGTCGGAGTCGGTCAAGATCTCGTCCTGTAGATCCCCGGAGGGTTCATCTACATCGACTTCCATCTCGTCCTCGCTGGGCGGCTCTATCGTGTTTGCGTTTTCGGCGAGATTACATAGTGATCCCATATCCGCCTTGTATATATTAAGCTTTATCTTCTCAAAGCCGTAGTTTAGTCGGCCTTCTGCCGCATTCAGCTGCTCTACGCATTTGTTGTTTAGCATGAGGACGACCTGCATAGATGCTCTTTTTGTCGCCTCTGTTTTTATTACCTTCCAGCCTTGAGTGTTAATCTTGGTATTGAAGAGCTGAATGAGTTCCAGAATCTTTTCCGGTTCTGCGGGCTTGGCCGGGATCCAGGCTCTGGCCCTCGGGCGGGATGGTATGTCCTTTGCGTCGACCACAGCAAGCTGTGCTCCCGGATAAACCTCTCCCACCCTACTGATGGCTTGCTTATAAAGCTCAGCCGACCTTTCATCGTCGCATGCTATGAGCTTAACGCCTCCTTGATATCACCCGGCGTCAGTACACTGTGGTGGTTCGCCAGGGTTGTCTTTCAACACCTCCACCTCCCTCGTCACTGTTGCGGTCAATGACTCCTACGACCTTGCGGTCCTTGGCCACTTCCGCAAAGGACTTGGACCAGGATTTGCCTTGCAACTTCGGCCTTTTTGACACCTTCTGTTGGTCTTCGTCCATTGAGCGCTGTCTCTTGGAGTTGCTGACCTCTAACTTGTACACGAAGTTGGGTAACACCAGCTTCGCCCATCGAATATCCGCTTGGATTCTTTCGAAGTCCTCCTTCGTCGCATGCTCCGGCGCGATTGGCGTGTCGGCATGACGTCGGAGGATCCGAGCCGCAGCGCGTCTCTCGCTGTATCCAGCTTTCTCTGGATCTGTCCTTGGCACGTTTGTCGCTCTCTTTACGACCAACGCTTTAACCTCGGGCGCGACCCTTGCAAGCGCACCAGCAGCCGAGGGCTCACTGATGGATGACCAAGAGAGGTAAAATCGATCAAATTTTTTTTTTTATTCTCTTAATTGTTTTAATTTCTATAATTATTCTAAACATATGTACAGAGTATTTCAAAGTAGGGACAGCCGACTTTAGTTTCTCCACTTGTCTTTATGTAGTCCTTTTTTCTGCCGTGTTGTGTCATTCATTAACTTGTGTTAAGATAGCTTCCTAATCGAATTCCTTCTATATCATTCCTGATATCATGATATTATTATTCTTTACACAAAATTAAGTCGAAATTTTTTCTTGAATGATTTCAGGCATTGGGTGCATCCACTGAACCCTGATATTCCCTGGTGAATGCAGTGATACTTTATTTTGTTTAAGCAACTGCACCGTTAATATGCTTAGCTTAGAAGCTTAGCTATCTGCAATACTGTTAAATATTTGTAGCGTACAACTCAATAAAAAAATATATTTATTTTTAATTACAGGTTCAATATTTATTTTCGGAGTGTTTGAAATATTTGGCAACTGTCTTGGACAACTCTCTGTGCCAGAGCTTTCGGTTGGAAGTCAACTTGAAGTATTGACACAGCCTGGCGCTTTTGGTAGCAGCAATATCAACCACACGCAAGACTCAAATTTTTCAGACCAGGCACTGCAGCAAATAGTTCGGGGATCCCAACAATTCAGCCTTGACTTATTACATCGAATATCCACCGAATTAGAAAAGACAAACAAAGATTTTATGATCTCACCATTTTCAGTTTGGTCACTACTCATACTGCTTTTTGAAGGCGCTAGCGGACAAACTTACGCCCAGCTGCGAAATGCTTTGCGCATAAATATCAATGATGAAACACTGCGAGATGTTTGGAATATGTGGAGTACATATCTCAAGTAAGCCATTTTTGTTGTTCTGAAGAATACTTCAAGTATTTAAAAATTATAAATTCCAGCGTTAATACTTCTACTATAGAAGTAGCCTCCTTGCAGGCTTTGTATACAAGTAAAGAACACGAAATATCAACTGAATATTTGAATCACATTCGAAAGTACAATGTACAGCCGGTTGCGACAGATTTCTTTGATCGCAAAACAGTGAAGCATATAAACGAAGCCACTTATCAATCGACTCGAGGATTAATCCCGTTCGCGGTCCTGCCACAAGAAATATTTGGTGTTAAAATGTTTTTGTTGTCTTCTCTTTACTTTAAAGGTCAATGGAAGGTACGTGAGTTGAATAAAATGATCAGGGGCTTTTACAATCATAATGTTTTATTACAGTACCCTTTCAATGAAGCAGCTACCCGTATAGAGCCGTTCTATGATGAGAAAGGAAACGTTATCACCCATATACCAATGATGGTGCAGGAAGCTAATTTTGCTTATGTAGGGAATATTGCGGGCTTGGATGGCTACGTTTTGGAATTGCCATATGGTACACAAGACCGGCTTTCTATGATAATTATTCTTCCAAAAAGCGGAATAAAGCTCAATGACATTACAAAAAATCTGAATAATTTGGGACTTGATCCGTTATTGAATGGCATTGTACAGTTTAGGAGAATGGCACCCGAAGATAACGAAGTGGAGGTTCTCATGCCAAAATTCATCACCACAACGGATTTCAACCTAAAGAAACCATTAGGAGAGGTGAGCATTCTTACTAAAAAAAAAACATGTAGGGAAGCTAAAGTCGGGAGAACCGACTTTAAAATACTCTGTACATATGTTTAGAATAATTAAAGAAATAAAAAAAATTAAGAAAATTAAAAAAAAAAAAATTTATCGATTTTACCTCTAAAGGGTGTATAATTGCACATTTACATAGCAATTGCGCCTATGTGAGTGTATGTATGTTTATGCGCGTCTATTTGTGTCTGTGCAAGCATGTTTGCAGTCAACCAAAGCATCAGCATCAACAACAGCTGTGGGCAGCGTTTGGGCAGCAAATATATTTATGGCTATAAGTTCCTGCTAAATCGGTCTATCATGATGATACACGGATACGAATACATAATCACTAACTGGGGGTATTTGCAAAATTTGAGTTCGAAATTCCAAGAATTACGGGAGTTAGAGGGAAATTCCAACATACACATTTTCTGCGTATTCACAGAAGGCATCTTAAGCTAAAATTTTGTGTCCCTAGGTCTTATGGTCTCCGAGATATAGGCGATTATAATGGAAAATCGGGTAAACTCTCATAGAGGCGTCTCGTCATGCTGATCAAGAATATATATACTTTGTGGCAGACCCTTACATTTTCAGATCCCGCAAACGTAATATCCTTGTACATTTCATGTACATAGTATAAAAATACACTTTTTGTAAAGGATGTATGAATCACTCTAATCAGACGCAGGATATTCGCGTCATTCCAGCTCAGGCATGACAAAAAGTCTTGGAAAGAATAAGTTTATAGCACTTTGTTGTAAAAAAATGTTTACCTTTATTTATTTATACACAGATGGGCATACGAGATTTGTTTGATGAAAAGCGTGCCGATTTGTCCCGAATGGCTAACGGCTTATATGCTAGTCTATGTGTACACTCTACCAAGATTGTCGTCGATGAAAAAGGCACGACTGCAGCATCAATTACAGCAGCTACTTTGTTAAATAAATCAACGCCACCGAAATTTTTGCTTAATAGACCGTTTCAGTACATGATTGTGGACAAGGCCACAAAATTGCTGCTTTTTGCTGGTCAAGTTAGAAACCCAAAAACTCATTAGATAATAAAAAAGTTTTTTAATATTTAAAATTAAGTATGTTGAGTAATAATATGTACGTATACTTAAATATAAAATATAAAAATATCCATGACTGTTTTTATTTCTTGGTCCGACTGTTAGCTTTTTTTGTGCCGATAGGCTGCTGTTTTTCCTTACTAGATTTGCAGGAAATTAACGGGTGTGCTTCTGTGAAATAAATTAAATTTGATGAGTATTGATATCATAATACATTAACATATCCATGTACCTATACATATGTATGTGTTAATTAATATCATGTGACTCTTTTCTAATATCATTTACGAAATTAGGGTAAAAGGGTTTGGTTCGAATGTATGTAGCATATAGAAATCGAGTCGTTATTTTTACCGTTATTTCTTTTGAAGGATTTTGCTGCCTCTTTTCATACAACGAAATAATTGAGCTGATCACATAAGTTTTTGTCATTGTACCAATGCATATATGGGCCATTTACATCAAAATTTTGGGATTTGTAATTAAACTAATAAATTAAGTGAGTTTTGACTTTGATTCAGGCTTAGAATATTAGATTAGATTATAATTTACAATAATTTTCGAAGAAATATTCCTTCCTCGGCACAAAGTTGCCCGCATGCACTTTGCAGAGATGCATAAGTTTTGGGAGCTAGAGTGCACAAAAATTATTTTCAACAATGAACAAAATTCTATTTAGATGGACTAGATGGTTATCAATATTATTACCGTGGCATCAGGACCCCCAAACAAGAAAAACGTCACGAAATTTTCAAGGCGGTTCGCTAATAGTATGGGCTGCATTTTGCTTTGTGGAAAGAGTCCTATATGCTATTGAACGAAAACTTCATTAATTTTGTTTTGGAAAAGATATATATGAGAAGATTATTGGACATTGCAGCAGGACAAAGCTCCAATCCACGTCTCAAAGCGCACAAAACAATTTTTTGAGGACAGAAAAATACTTTTTATGTGGCCTGAAAAAAGTCCAGATTTTATTCCCATAGAGAACCTTTGGGGAATCCTTTCCAGTAAAGTTAACATGCATTGCAGACAATTTTGGAAAAAATTAAAAGAAGCAATCGTAACAGAGTGGGTCAAATTTGACGGATCACTTCTTCAAAACAGTTAATTCAATGTCAGATCGCATATTAAGAGTAATTTATAGTAATGAAGGACATATCTAGGAAATTAACGCTAAAAACGCAAGTATATTGAAATAGAAATATAGTTTTTTGAATTTGATCAGGTCAATTATTTCCTTCGAATAAATTTTCATTTAATTTTAAAAAAGTTTCTTATAATTTCCTAAAATATTTATTAACTGAAGTTCAACTGTCATTTAAAAAGTTTAAAGAAAAATTACTATTATTTTTAATATCGATGAATTCTGATTTAATTAAGAACAAGAAAGGGATGCTAAAGTCGAGCGAGCTCAACTCTTAAATACCCTGTACCTCCCACGAAAAAGGAGAAAAAAACAATTTTTTTTTAAAGGGAATTTAAACAAGAGAGAACGCTACAGGCTACAAATAGCCTGTTCAAATAGCCTGTTCTCTCCACCAAGAAGGAAAATTTATAAAAAAAAATTAAAATTAAATTATTAAAACAAGATAGAAGGCTACAGTCGAGCAAGCCCGACAGTAAAACAGTCTGTACTCTCCACAAAAAAGAAAAATTAAAAAAAAAATTTTAATATTAAATTTAAAAAAAAATTAATTAATTTATTAAATTAATTAAGAAAATTTATTTAATACATACATATAAGACATATTTATGTACAGTTTTACATTTACATCACGTATCTATGCTTGTTTATATACGTGTATGTATGTATGTAGCAGAAAGTTGAACCAAAGCAGCAACAACAATAACAGCTGCGGGCAGCGCTGCAAGCAGAGCATGAGCAGCGATTTTATTTATGGCTATAACTTTATTCAGAATTGACCTATCATGATGAAACTTGGCACACGGACACATAAGCACTAACTGGATGTAACTACCAAAATTGATTTCAAAATTCCAAGAATTTCGGAAGTAATAAGAAAAAACACGAATTTCGGAGGAGTGGGGGGTTGTATCAAAATATAAAAAAAGAAGCTTGACCTGCCTAGGGCTTAGGGGAACCTGGATGCCAAGTTTGGTAATTCTAGCTCTTGTACCTTCTGAGATCCTTGCGCTCATACAGACGGACGGACGGACGGACATGGCTATATCGACTCGGCTTGTCACCCTGATCATGAATATATATACTTTGTGGGGTCTGCCACGCCTCCTTCTCTGTGTTACATACATGCGCACAAAACTAGTATAGCCTTTCACCCTTTGGGTACAGGCTATAAAAATAATCTTGACCTGCGTAGGACTTAGGGGAACCTCGATACCAAGTTTGGTTATTCTAGCTCTTGTACTTCCTGAGATCCTTGTGCTCATACAGACAGACGGACGGACAGACGGACATGGTTATATCGACTTGTCTTGTCATCCTGATCAATAATATTACAATAATATTATTACATACATCCGCACAAAACTAGTATAGGCTTTTACCCTTTGGATACAGGCTATTAAAATTATATTAATTAAATTATTTAATTAAATTAAATACAAATTATTCAATACATATATACAAAAATGGAGACATGTTCATGTACAGTTTCAACAGCACACATTTACATAATAATCGTATCTCTGCGTGTTTATATGCGTGTATGTATGTAGCACAATGTCGAACCAAAGCAGCAACAACAACAACAGCTGCGGGCAGAGCTGCAGGCAGAGCATGGGCAGCGATTTTATGTATGGCTATAACTTTCTTCAGAATTGACCTATCATGGTGAAACTTGGCATACGGACACAAAGGCACTACCTGGATGTAACTACCAAATTCGAAATTCGAAGAATTACGGAAGCTATAAAGAAAAACACAAATAGCGGGGAGTGGGGGGTGTACCAGAATAAAAAAACAAACTTGACCTGCATAGGGCTTATGGGCACCTGGATACCAAGTTTGGTAATTCTAACTCTTGAACCTTCTCAGATCCTTGCGCACGTCCAGACGGACATGGCTGTATCGACTCCGCTTGTCACCCTGATCAAAAAAATATATATTTTGTATGGCTTGCCACACCTCCTTCTGCCTGATACATACATTCGCACTAGTATACCCTTTCATCAAAAATTCCAAGAATCACGGGAGTTGGAGAAAATCATGAATTGCGGTTGTGAGGGGGGAGTGAAGGTAATTTCCAAAAAACACATTTTCTGCGTATTCACATAAGGCATCTTAGACTTCAAATTTGATGTTCCTAGGTCTTATAGTCTCCGAGATATAGGTGATTATACGAGCTGCGTTACTGAAAAACTTCCACTAACGGGGAAGTGAGGGGGGAAATCAAAAAAATAAAACTAACTCGTATAGCGTACACACATAAGGCATCTTTGTGCAAAATTTGGTGTCTCTACCTCTTATATAAGGCTAGATCGACTCGTCTTGTCATGCTGATCAAGAATATATATACTTTGTGGGGTCTGCCACGAAGGAGGCTTCGTTTCAAAACCTGTTCAAATTCTGAAGATAAATGAAAAACCAATGCAATTGGTAATCTGATAACGCGAAAAGCACCCTTTTCGATTGAAAAGAAAATAGCAAAACCAATAAATTGGTATATTGTAATCACATGTTGTCAGTGATGGTGCATACAAAGGTGAGAAAAATAGATAACAAAAAAGTTGCTTAAAGTTAATAACAACAAAATCAGTAAAGTAGGTGTTCTAACCTGATGATGCGCAGTGTATATACTTTGTGGGATAAGCCATGCTATACCAAATAAATAACATACCAATAGAAATAACAAATTAAACATACTTCCTTCGATTTGTAAATGAGTTTAAATAACATACAAATTAATATGTGTACATATAAGTTTTTTACAATAACATACCATCTGAAGGCGCATCAGGAAGGCTGACATCATAATATTGAATTCTTCGGCGCTTGGAGTTAATTATTTCACCTTCAGAGTCATGAGTATCGTTACCTAGAAGGGAAGCATTTATTTCTAAGCTGTCCTGTATAGCCCAACCCTCCTCTGGGTCCTCTACTTCAGGGGCCATTGGTAAAAATTGCAGTGCATTTTCGTCTTCATTCTCTTCATCTGAAGAGCAAAAAGCGGCTACCGGCTCTACCTTTTGCACATCGACTTCGATTTCCTCTTCTTGATGTGCATCCGCATTTAAGTCTATCGATTTGTCTTCATCAGCAATATCGAACTCTGATTCACGCTCATCGTATTCAACGTTTTCATCTAGCTCCTTAAAGTCAGGAGCAAATGCTGACCAATTTTCAACTTGGTTTTGAGCCCAGATCGATACGAGTCCAGAGCTAATACTTGCTATGATGGGCCGAACTGGATGCCAAACCACATCAAGCAGAAGCTCGCCTTTAGTACCGTGTAAAATTTTTACCAGATTTCCAATTGACTTTTCCCAGATGTACAAAGCATGTTGACGTGCACTTCCAGCGCAAATATATTCACCATCCCCCGAAAAGCAACATTTTTTCCAGGTTGTCCTGTTAGTGTTAGGAATCGTGAGAAAAAAAACACAAACACAATACAAAATAAATAAATGTATATACATAACATAATAAAATTTAAAAATTATTTTAAAACAAGTAGAGAAGATAGAAGTCGGGTGTCCCAACTCTGAAATACTCTGTACATATTTGTAGAGTAATTATGTGTATATGCGTGTTTGTGTGTGTATGTGTGCCGTTGCAAAGCAGTAACAACAAAGTAGCTTTTATAGTCTCTGAGATCCAGGTGTTCATACGGACAGACAGACAGACGGAGAAAAAACGAACAAACTCGATTTGCCTAGGGCTTATGGGAAACTCGATACCGAGCTTGGTTATCCTAACTCTTGTACTTGCTGAGATCCTTGCGCTCATACAGACGGAGAGACAGACATGGCTATATCGACTCGTCTTGTCATACTGTTCAATAATATATGTACTTTTATGGGTCTGCCACACCTCCTTCTGTGTGTTACATACAGTACAGTAATCTAGTTTACCCTTTTACACTTTGGGTACAGGGTATAAAAATATCCTCTTAGCTGAGTGAAATGTGATCAAAATAATGTTAATTTGTCAATTTAAATTCATGTTAGGCATATCCCGATAAACAGCAGCCTCTGTAATGGCGAAAGTACCAGCACATGATGTCAGATCACAATACTAATATTACAGCTAATCAATAATTTGAAGCTTTTGACCTAACCAGGTGGTTAATATATAAATCGAAAATTTATTTTTGGGTTGGAATTTAATTTTACAATTACATATCCGGCTACTGCTTGTGTTCTCATGTCAAGTTCGTATACTCCTTACCTAAAAGGTACAAGAGTATATTAGGTTTGTGGAAAGCGAAAAATGTAACAAGCAGAAAGAGGCGTGGCAGACTGTGGGGTCTGTGTACTATAAGACCTACAAAATAAATTTTCTTACACATATGCCTTATGTGTGTGTGCGCAGTACGAGTTTGTTTAATTTTTTTATGTACCCCCACTATTAGGTATTTTCCATTATGCCGTTCGTTAAATCGTCTATATCATGGAGAAATATAAGGACTCGACACACAAAAATTTTCACCCTAGATACCCTATATGAGTATTATCTTCCTTCCCCCACTTCACCCCTATTAAAGATTTTTCATAACTTCTCGTTTAGCAAATATCTCCAATTAGTAAGTATCTGTCCGTATACCAACTTTCATCTAGATAAGTCAATTCGAAAAGAAGTCATAGCCATAAATGTAATATCTGCCCAAGCAACGCCCGCAACTTTTATTGCAGTTTCTGCTTTGGCTCAACTCTTTACTGCATACATAATCTCACACAGACATGCATATGGGAATACCAAATGAGGTAAAATCTATCAATAATTTGTATACTCTGTACCTGAAATGTACAAGAGAATATAAGGTTTTTGGGAAGTAAAAAAAGAAACAGGCGAGGGAGGCGTGGCAGACCCGACAATATCCCCCAATATCCATTCAAGGTTACCTCCTTTAACTCTTTTAGAGATAAAACAAATGTAGAAGCTACAGTTAGGGTGAGGCGCAGATACTGCTTTAGAATAGGATAGTTTAAGAGAAATATTTGGATTTTAGTTTAAGGCGAAAAGAGAGCGCGAGAGCGGCCGTTTGATGGACGTCGCCTCGCTTCCTTCTTTAGCCGCCTTAGGCTTAGTGTAGCAAGTAAGCCGAAATTGAAGTTTAGCTGTAAAACTAGTTCAATACACGCCATTGTCGCACATCATTTTTTGTTTTCGCAAATCGTTTCGCAGTAAATTTGATAAAAAGCAAGCGTCCCATTCTTTCTTTTTACCTACATTTATATGTATAAAATCATATAAATATTCAGTGGCGCCCGAGCAGGGACTTCCTTGTTTTTAAAAAAGAATAAACTCTGTTTAATAAAAGTGAACCGCTACAGGCAATTATTTAAAGTGCCAAATTTATTGTTGTTTGATTTTGTTATATACGTACATAAATACACATAGCCATATTTACATACTGCATTCCCCCCACGTCAATCTCAGTCATCCGTCGGCAGTTGCTCTCATTATTTCCCGTCAAATTCTCCGATGCCGTTTTCACACATATATCGACATACTCACATACATATGTACATAACTTAGCTAATACATTGCTGTCGTTGTCGCGCTTAAGCTGCTGCATTTTTTGTTTGCCTGCGCTTCGCATAATACATGCATAATAATTAGCTGTTCTGCTAACGCCCACAAGCATTTGCATTAGAATTATTCTTTTCGTTTGTCGCCACTTTCGCTGCTGCTTCCAAAAGTATTGCCTTCGGTCAGTCAACTGCAGTTATTCTCGTTTTCGTTCGCACTGGTAGACGACCATCTGTTGCGCTCAACTACACTTGCTGAGATCAGCATATTATTTTATCGTTTGTCACTCAGCAATTTTTATTCGATCAAAGCTTAAAACCTTAAATCACTATGAGTAAGGACTTGATCGAAGAACTTAAAAGGAAGCGCGAGGGCTGTATGAAGAGTATATGTCGTATGCAACGGCAATTAAAAGAAGGCTCGATTTCGTTAAAGCCAGTCGAGTTAGAATTCAGGCTAAAGCTTCTAACAAATCATATAGCAACTGCAAATATACTGCAAGGCAAAATTTAAGGTAAAGATACAGAAGATGACTACCGTGAAGAGTTGGAAAAAATTTGCATTATGACCAAATCATTATTAAAAGGCCAGCTGGAAAAACTAAGAAGGCAAAGCATCGACCGCTCACGTACGGCAAACGTGTACTTCAAAAAAGCCAATGTGTCGATTTCCAGCGGTCGCTCTTCCAACTTTTAGCGGCAAGCATTCTGAATTTAAAAATTTCATGAATCTTTTCGAAACTTTTGTTCACAATGATGACACACTGCATAATATTGAAAAGTTCAATCATTAATATCATGTTTGGCTGGTGCCGCTTTAGGCACAGTTCGCGCCTTCCAAATTACGGAAGACAATAACAGTAAAGCCATTCTAAAGCGGGTGTACGATGACTGCCTAATATTTTTCGATAACATATCGACACTTTTGAATCTACAAAAGATTTCCCAGCCATCTGCGTCAGCTTTGAGAAGCCTGATCGACACAGTGTCGGCCACCTATAACTCACTTTTGTCAAGTGGTGACGACAAGAAAATCGCTAATGCCATCTTAATTTATCTAGTTATGGGCAAAATCGATCCTCAGACTCAAAAAGTCAAAAACGTTAGCAGAATAAACCATTCGTTTGTTGCTGCCAAAAACGAACAGAATAACCTTTGTCAATTTTGCAATTCAGCTGACCATTCGATTGGCATTTGCCAGGCATATATTGCCTTGTCAGTGCAACAAAGGTTTGACATCGCCAAAGGTGAGCCTTTGTGCATAAACTGTCTTCGACGAGGTCACACAGTAGCGAAGTGTAAGGCAAAGAAATGTGGCGTGTCAACGTTCTCATCACACACTGCTACATATTTATAGTGCTACCACAAATCTTGCGTTACCACCACCCTCTCAGCCACCACATCTTCAAGATAGCTCTTCCACTTCGCATGCCATGCATGCGACTGCTTCGGACGGAGTGGTTCTTGCAACATCAGTTAAAACGAATAGTAGCGATTTCGTTTTAGCAAGAGCATTGTTAGGTTCTGGGTCGCAAGTCAACTTTGTGACTGAGGATCTAGCTCAAAAGCTACAGCTCAGACGAGAGGATACGTGTATGGTCTTGCGCGGCATTGAATACACCAATAAAAGAAAAGAATTCATACATTGGTGAAGTCGCGCGTCAATTGTAGCGAGTTTTCCGCAGATTTTTGGATCTTGGGATCGATTTCTGGTTATCATCCCGATCAAGCGGTGCACACCAGTGGGTGGAGGGTACCCAAAAATATTCAATTGGCCGATTCTCAATCCCATAAACCGCAAAAATTGACATGTTAATTGGAGCAGGGTCATTCTTCGACTTACTATCGATAGGACAAATAAAGCAAGGCCCTGAGTCTCCCACATTACAAAAAACGTTACTCAACGTTACAAAAGTTTTGGTCCATTGAGGACTTGCCCAATAGTTCGAAAGTTCTCTCACCTGAGCAACAGCTTTGTGAGCAACACTTTGTCGAGAATACAAAAATCTTATCGTCTGGTCGATTTCATCTGACCCTAAAAGTCTCAGTTCATCGTACGAAATTGCGAAACGTCGTTGTTGGTTAAAAGGAGGTTGCCGAAAGACCTCCAACTGAAAAGCATGTATCTGGAATTTATGGACACTAGGTCGCATGTCCTCAACGGACAACAAAATTCCAGATACTCCACACTATTTTATCCCGCATCAGTGTTTCCTGCGGCCGCAAAGCACGTCGACCAAGTTGCGTGTCATTTTCGATGCCTCTTGTCGCACGTCCACTCAGATTGCGTTAAATGTCACCTTAATGGTCGATCCAATAAATCAGGAGGAGCTTTATTCTACGCTGCTTCGTTTGTAAAAGTTCGCCTTAGAGGCAGACATAAAGAAAATGTACCGTCACGTGATGGTGCACGAAGCAGATAGAAACTATCAGCTCATAGTGTGGCGAAGAGATCCGTCTGAATCTTTGAAAATCTTCAGGTCAAACACTGTAATATATGGCACGTCGCCAGCTCCGTTCTTGGCGGTGCCGTGTTTAACAAGGCTCAGTGAAATGGTCCGTTATTCACATTCAACAGCTGCTGAAGTTATTCTGAGCGACTTTTATGTCGACGATATGTTAAAAGCGTTGAACAGCAAAAAAAAAAAAGCTTCGAACAGAAGTGCCGCACGTTTTTCAAACTTAAGGCTTCGAATTGGCAAAGTGGTTTTCGAATTGCCCGGAACTGTCCGCAGACCCAACCATAACGCTCGGCGTTATGTAGTTGCCAAAAGAAGATGTATTTCAGTTTCAGTTGGAAAATTACTTCCTAGGTCTCCGCTCGACAAAAAGGAACATATTATCGGCATGGTCAGTGTTTGTTTCGAACAGAGTTTA